TTGGGACTGAAGTGCCTTCTGTGGGCACTGGTGCTGAGATGGCATGAACCAGCGCCGGAGCTGGGTCTCCCGGGGCCCTGGTTGCACCGGGGGGTTGAAGGACATCGTGCTCAGCACTGGCAAAGCACCGTCCCACGGTTCTGTTGCTGCAGAAGCTGCTGAGGGCGGCACGGCCTGGGTGGACGGGTCTGAAGCACTGCCAGGTGGGAAGGGCCGTGGGGCGCTCCCCGTCCTCCTTGGGGCTCTCCCCTCTCCCCAGATCATTGGTGGCCATTGCAGGCTGCAACTGGGTCCGGGTTGAGCCGTTCCCCTCTTCCGAGACCAGCCCTTTCACTCTGCCCACAGCAGCCAAGCAGATCTATCACCTTTCCAGCCTCCACCTTGGCCACATCCAGCCCGGTTGTTGCACTTGCTTGAGGCGAGCTCCTTGGCCGGATCAGAGCAAGCTGCCGGGCCGTTTCGTTGCCGCTGGGTGCGGACTGGGGTGGTGGGAAGATCGCCTCGCTGGTGCTGTGTGGCTGCCAGGGAACTGCAGGCAGCAGGCACCGATCGCGTGTCAAACCTGGGGGAAGGGAACTGCAGGCAGCAGGCACCGATCGCATGTCAAACCTGGGGGAGGAGAAGCTCCCTCTCTTATCTCGCTGGCGTGTGCTGGAGCTGAGCTGCTCGTGCGTTCGCTGAGAAGGAGCTGGCATCCTTCGAGGAGCAGGGCTCGGCGTGCTGACACGAGCACTGTGCCAGCCGGCTCCTGTGCCAGGAGAGGCTCACGGAGCACCCCACGAGGGTTTGGAGAGATGCAGAGCCACCGGTTTAACCCAACTCCGGTCCCTTGTGATGGCTGGCCCATGCTGGGGAAGGGCTGCTGCGCTGCCGGGGAGCGGACGCAGTGGATGCAGGAGACGTCTGCAGCGGGCGAGCCCTGGGGTGGCGGCAGGCATCGGTGTGTGGCAAAGCCCGGCTGTCCCGGCCCATTTGCTTCATGGTGGCGGGTTTGATTAGAAATTGCACAGGTTTGCATAATGCTGCTTAAAAACCTCATTTTTGCATAATTTAGCCAAACTTCCCAAAATAAAGTCCCATCGGCATCATCCCGATACGCTCCCATCCACCCTGGCGAGGAGGATGAGGGGTGGATGAAGGGGCAGAGCCCGGTACCTCCGCCGCCCTCCCCACGGCGTGTGCGGCTCTCCCCGTTCAGAGGCTCGGCTAACACACTCCGAAATTGGGATTTGTTTCCTTCTAATCAGGCCATGATATATGACAGGCTCACCCGGTGCTCTGGTTGCAGAGGTGGTTTAACATTAGATTTTTAATGATCCCTCCATTAATCCCGGTATTCTGGGATTTAATGCTTGCTGCCCTTTGACCAGTGGAAATGATGAAAACTTTGATTTCATGCATATTGGATACTTCTGGAGTCTAGTGCCAGGAATAGCTGCTTATCCGCTCTGAGCAGAGGGGA